CTCTCTCTCTCTCTCTCTCTCTCTCTCTCTCTCTCTCTCTCTCTCTCTCTCTCTCTCTCACGAGATTTGTAATGTCTTTATCATGCTTCAGGGGTTCATAACCCCTGAAGTATACATACCACTGCACCCTGACTCGCGGTGGTGGAAAGGGTTACAGAGGCACATAATGGGTTCAGGAACTGAATCCCAATATATAACAATCTATAGAAATTTCAGGAAAACTCTGCTTGTTGGGGAACCTGACCTATTACGTATAATAGGCCTATTAGGTACAACAGGCTGTGCCCTAATAGTGTTCACTGGAAAATGAGCCATAAACCGGTAATTAGTTTATAACCGGGTCCCCAATTACTGCTGGGTGAAGAGTTACGATCCGGGGGACCAGTCCACCCCCCCCCAACCCCCCCACCGGCGCACAGCGCTCGAAACATGTCGAAGTCGCTCGCCAGGCGTGGGGCAGGCGGCCGTGCTAGCAAGCACGCCAGTACAGCACCTACCTTCCTTCTTACCTACTTACCTACGTACCCCCCTTCCCTTTCTTCCTCCCCCTCGTGCCTCTCTCCTTCTCTAATCGCCCTCGCTTTTCGCTTCCTTCCCTCCCTATCCCCCTCCGTCCCTTCCTTTCCCCCCCTTCCCCGGCCCCTCCCTCCCCCACCCCAGCAGGTAATGGAGGACGACACCAACATGTAGATGAGAGCCGGGCCACGATGCTTTGTTTACAATCTGTCAGTCACATTCAGCCGCGTTTGTTTACTAGAACCACAACGAGTTTTTGTTGTCAGGCAGTTTGAGACTCGCCGGGGTCGCTTTTAACTACTACTACTGCTGCTGCTGCTGCTGCTGCTGCTGCTGCTGCTGCTGCTGATGCTGCTGCTGCTGCTGCTGCTGCTGCTGCTGCTGCTGCTGTCCCCAGCGTGACACGTCCTGGTGCCGGGCTGCTGGGGGGACATGTTCGTTCCGCAGCGAAATAACCAAATGTATTGGGGTCCATAACCGGCCTCCGTGAGTCAGCTGGCAGTCACATGATGGGTACGGGGGATTCACAACCACTTATGGAAGGGTATGGGGTCCACTACTAAGGGATTGGGTATGAGGGTCCACTACCACCCACGAGATGGGTATGAGGGTCCCCTACCACCCACGAGATGGGTATGGGGGTCCACTACCACCAACGAGATGGGTATGGGGGTCCATTACCACCCACGGGATGGGTATGAGGGTCTCCTACCACCCACGAGATGGGTATGGGGTCCACTACCACCAACGAGATGGGTATGGGGGTCCATTACCACCCACGAGATAAGTATGGGGGTCCACTAATCACCCACGGGATGGGTATGGGGGTCCACTACCACTCACGAGATGGATATGAGGGCCCACTACCACCCACGAGATGGGTATAAAGGTCCACTACCACCCTCGGGATGGGTATGGGGGTCCACTACCACTCACGAGATGGATATGAGGGCCCACTACCACCCACGAGATGGGTATAAAGGTCCACTACCACCCACGGGATGGGTATGGGGGTCCACTATCACCCACGGGATGGGTATAGGGGGGGGGGTTCCCCACTACCACCCACAAGATGGGTACAGGGGGGGGGGTTCCCCACTACCACCCACGGGATGGGTATAGGGGGGGGGTTCCCCACTACCACCCACAAGATGGGTACAGGGGGGGGGGGTTCCCCACTACCACCCACAAGATGGGTACAGGGGGGGGGGGTTCCCCACTACCACCCACAAGATGGGTACAGGGGGGGGGGGTTCCCCACTACCACCCACAAGATGGGTACAGGGGGGGGGGTTCCCCACTACCACCCACGGGATGGGTATAGGGGGGGGGTTCCCCACTACCACCCACAAGATGGGTACAGGGGGGGGGGTTCCCCACTACCACCCACAAGATGGGTACAGGGGGGGGGTGTTCCCCACTACCACCCACAAGATGGGTACAGGGGGGGGGGGTTCCCCACTACCACCCACGGGATGGGTATAGGGGGGGGGGTTCCCCACTACCACCCACAAGATGGGTACAGGGGGGGGGGTTCCCCACTACCACCCACAAGATGGGTACAGGGGGGGGGTTCCCCACTACCACCCACGGGATGGGTATAGGGGGGGGGGGTTCCCCACTACCACCCACAAGATGGGTACAGGGGGGGGGGGGGTTCCCCACTACCACCCACAAGATGGGTACAGGGGGGGGGGGGGTTCCCCACTACCACCCACGGGATGGGTATAGGGGGGGGGTTCCCCACTACCACCCACAAGATGGGTACAGGGGGGGGGGGTTCCCCACTACCACCCACAAGATGGGTACAGGGGGGGGGGTTCCCCACTACCACCCACGGGATGGGTATAGGGGGGGGGGTTCCCCACTACCACCCACAAGATGGGTACAGGGGGGGGGTTCCCCACTACCACCCACAAGATGGGTACAGGGGGGGGGGGGTTCCCCACTACCACCCACAAGATGGGTACAGGGGGGGGGGTTCCCCACTACCACCCACGGGATGGGTATAGGGGGGGGGGTTCCCACTACCACCCACAAGATGGGTACAGGGGGGGGGGGTTCCCCACTACCACCCACAAGATGGGTACAGGGGGGGGGGTTCCCCACTACCACCCACAAGATGGGTACAGGGGGGGGGGTTCCCCACTACCACCCACGGGATGGGTATAGGGGGGGGGTTCCCCACTACCACCCACAAGATGGTACAGGGGGGGGGTTCCCCACTACCACCCACAAGATGGGTACAGGGGGGGGGGGTTCCCCACTACCACCCACGGGATGGGTATAGGGGGGGGGGTTCCCCACTACCACCCACAAGATGGGTACAGGGGGGGGGGGTTCCCCACTACCACCCACAAGATGGGTACAGGGGGGGGGGGTTCCCCACTACCACCCACAAGATGGGTACAGGGGGGGGGGTTCCCCACTACCACCCACGGGATGGGTATAGGGGGGGGGGGTTCCCCACTACCACCCACAAGATGGGTACGGGGGGGGGGGGTTTCCCCACTACCACCCACAAGATGGGTACAGGGGGGGGGGGTTCCCCACTACCACCCACAAGATGGGTACAGGGGGGGGGGTTCCCCACTACCACCCACAAGATGGGTACAGGGGGGGGGGTTCCCCACTACCACCCACAAGATGGGTACAGGGGGGGGGGTTCCCCACTACCACCCACAAGATGGGTACAGGGGGGGGGTTCCCCACTACCACCCACAAGATGGGTACAGGGGGGGGGGTTCCCCACTACCACCCACAAGATGGGTACAGGGGGGGGGTTCCCCACTACCACCCACAAGATGGGTACAGGGGGGGGGTTCCCCACTACCACCCACAAGATGGGTATAGGGTGCATAATAATTGAACAAAATCAAATACCTTAAATAAATATATTGTTCTCTGACAATAAATTTTGTACCGTGGAAAAGATTGGAGTAAGGCTCTGATGACCCAAGGCTCTGATGACCCATACTTCACATCGCAGAATACATTAAGGGAGACAGACAGACACAGGAGACGTAGCTAGATACATATCTGCGTATTTCTTTAAAACAACTTTCTTGTGTAGCATTTTCATATATATTTATAATCATACATTGTGCGAAGGGTTGAAAATAAAACTAGGAGTAATGATTTTAATAAGGCGTGTGGATTATTGTGAAGTGAGAGTCTCTCTCTCTCTCCTTGTGGCACCCGGCAAGGATGACTGCCATCCGTGGCCTTACTGTGCCACGGATGGCAGCCACGGCTGGCACACACTCACCATTTCTATGATACACACGGTGGATGTGTGTGTGTGTGTACGTGTGTAGCTCAATCCTCTCAGTTCCGGGACGAGCCTGGTGGCATACCGCTGAATCTTCTCTAACTTTGTCTTGTGTTTAACTAGGTATGAAATCCAGGCTGGAGCTGCATACTCCAGGATTGGTCTTACATAAGTGGTATACAGGGTTCTGAAAGATTCCTTACACAAGTTTCTGAAGGCAGTTCTTATGTTGGCCAGTCTAGTATATGCCGCTGATGATATTCTTTTGTGTGTGTGTGTGTGTGTGTGTGTGTGTGTGTGTGTGTGTGTGTGTGTGTGTGTGTGTGTGTGTGTGTGTGTGTGTGTGTGTGTGTGTTGTGTGTGTGTGTGTGTGTGTGTGCTGGTGACCGCTGTGAATGGCCTCGTGTAGTGTAGAAAAATAAAACTCTAAGCCTTACAAACACAATAGGTTGTTACTTACTTATATATTAGAAAATATTTACATGTTAATTAGACTTAGCATGTTTTATGGTAATCATTGTTAGGTGGTTTTCTGAAGACAATGTTCCCGAGTTGGGTCTAGGTACAGCGAGAGACTTGCCTTCTTTGCAAGGTCTGGGTTCGATCCCCGGTAGTGCAATTGGTTGGGCACCGTTCCTTCACTTCCTTCAAAGCACCACGAGGTTTTTAATAATAATAACAACAACCATGGGTTATAAAGCCTCGGAGCTCGTAAACAGTTTAATCAATGTAAACAAAGCCGCCATGATGACTGACAGACAAGCAGGCTTCTTAAACAGCTGCTTGATTAATCCTGGCCTCGGTCAGGAGACCCCTTCCCCCCATCGCTCGGTCTGGACCAGTAACCCCACAGACCCCCATCGCTCGGTCTGGACCAGTAACCCCACAGACCCCATCGCTCGGTCTGGACCAGTAACCCCACAGACCCCCATCGCTCGGTCTGGACCAGTAACCCCACAGACCCCCATCGCTCGGTCTGGACCAGTAACCCCACAGACCCCATCGCTCGGTCTGGACCAGTAACCCCACAGACCCCCATCGCTCGGTCTGGACCAGTAACCCCACAGACCCCCATTGCTCGGTCTGGACCAGTAACCCCTCTAAGACACACTCTCGAATAATCAAGACAGACAAATGTGTTCCCGGCGGAAGAGAGAGAAAGACGCGTCAACAAAAACATGCGGATCGTTGAAAAGCTAATTAACCTTACAAGATGCACGACGGACGTAAGTCTTGGACTGTCAGCCAGCCAGTCTGCCGCTCCCAGTCGTAAGTTCCCTCTTGCACTCGACTGTAGACGCTCTCGGGGTCAACTGAAACCCCCCTCCTCCCCCCCAATAGGGGTCTGAACCCTCCTCCTCCCCCCCAATAGGGGGTCTGAGACCCCCACCCTTCCACCGGCATCATCATCACTGTGACGATATAGTGACCTCACACACCTGGGGCACACTGTCGATAAAACACATTTGATTTCTTATGTAAGCTTATAGGGTTGTTTGGGTTGGTTGGGTTGGGTTTATTTATAGAGTAGTGATGACGTAGAGGGGTGCCTATTTCCTACAGGTCCCAGACCCTACTCTAGACAGCAGGTCCCGGCCGCCCTAGAGCGGGAGGAGTCACGACTCTTTGCTCTTTTTCCCGCGCCTTTTACAACGTGATAACATTTACGGCTCCCGTATGGGCGGGGAGGCGGCGGCGGCGGCGGTCGCTGCCTGGCTCACTGCTGCCGTAAACATCACAGCACTTGACACTGTACTTTTTGTTGTTCCGTCCGTACTGTTCACCGCGTGTTTGTTCACCTAGTTGTGTTCACCTATATTGTGCCACGTGTTGACTCACCTGTAACACTCACACACACACACACACTCTCTCTCTCTCTCTCTCTCTCTCTCTCTCTCTCTCTCTCTCTCTCTCTCTCTCTCTCTCTCTCTCTCTCTCTCTCTCTCTCTCTCTCTCTCTCTCTCTCTCTCTCTCTCTCTCTCTCTCTCTCTCTCTCTCTCTCTCTCTCTCTCTCTCTCTCTCTCTCTCTCTCTCTCTCTCTCTCTCTCTCTCTCTCTCTCTCTCCCTCCCCCTTGAGGTAGAGAGAGGTGATTTCGGGTCTCAGCGACCCCGTGGCCCGGTCGTTGACCAGGCCTCCTCGTTGCTGGGCATCTAGCTTCCATTCCTGGAATATTTTTTTACTCGCCGTAAATATTTCCTTAGTCTCGCCTAAATCTTAAGGAGGCCTGGTCGAGGACCGGGCCGGGGGGGACGCTAAGCCCCGAAACCATCTCAGGTAGCCTCAAGGTAGGTCTCAACCCCTTGAACTGGTCGGTGTGGCGACGGCTTCACTTCTTGCAGAGTCGGCGGTCGACCTCCCCCCCCCACACCCCCCCTAAATGGTCAAAGCGGTTGGGCACCATACCTTGAGGTGCTTCCCCACAGACCATTCCTTCTCCCAGCTCCTTGTGTTCACGTTACAGCCCCGCTCCTGTGCCAGGTAAGTCTACTACGGGCTCACCATAGTCCGTGCTACTTGGAACTTTTTGTTCCCAGTAGCTGAATCTAAAAACAACAACAACAACTTGTTTTCATATCCCAGACCTTTGTCCTCATATCCCAGTTCTTTATCCTTATATCCCAAATCCTTTTTCTCATATCCGTTCCAAGTTCTATATAGTCAAAATGCAAATTTATGCAATTTTTTTTAGTCTTATGTTTCTTGAGAGGCAGACTCCATAGCAGTGCTGCCTACTATATAATTGGTCTCACGTAGGTGGTGCACTGTCTTCTGTATGATTTTTTATTTAGGGTTTTGAAGTATTTTCTGTTTGTCAGGGTGGGGAAGCTTGTCTAGGGTGGTGAAGCTTGGGGCCCAGGGTGGTGAAGCTTGTCTAGGGTGGTGAAGCTTGGGAGCCCAGAGTGCCAGAGTGCCCAGGGCTCCCAGGGTGCCAAGAGCGCCAAGGGTGCCCAGAGTGCCCAGGGCTCCAAGGGTGCCCAGAGTGCCCAAGGTGCCCAGGTCTCCAAGGGTGCCCAGGGCTCCAAGGGTGCCCAGGGCTCCAAGGGTGCCCAGGGTTCCAAGGGTGCCCAGAGTGCCCAGGGCTCCAAGGGTACCCAGGGCTCCAAGGGTGCCCAGGGCTCCAAGGTGCCCAGGGCTCCAAGGGTACCCAGGGCTCCAAGGGTGCCCAGGGTTCCAAGGGTGCCCAGAGTGCCCAGGGCTCCAAGGGTACCCAGGGCTCCAAGGGTACCCAGGGCTCCAAGGGTGCCCAGGGCTCCAAGGGTGCCCAGGGCTCCAAGGGTGCCCAGAGTGCCCAAAATGCCCAGGGTTCCAAGGGTGCCCAGAGCTCCAAGGGTGCCCAGAGTGCCCCATGTGCCCAGGGCTCCGAGGGTGCCCAGGGTGCCCAGGGCTCCAAGGGTGCCCAGGGTTCCAAGGGTGCCCAGAGTGCCCAAGGTGCCCAGGGCTCCGAGGGTGCCCAGAGTGCCCAGGGCTCCGAGGGTGCCCAGGGTGCCCAAGGTGCCCAGGGCTCCGAGGGTGCCCAGGGCTCCAAGGGTGCCCAGGGTTCCAAGGGTGCCCAGAGTGCCCCATGTGCCCAGGGCTCCGAGGGTGCCCAGGGTGCCCAGGGCTCCAAGGGTGCCCAGGGTTCCAAGGGTGCCCAGAGTGCCCAAGGTGCCCAGGGCTCCGAGGGTGCCCAGAGTGCCCAGGGCTCCGAGGGTGCCCAGGGCTCCAAGGGTGCCCAGGGTTCCAAGGGTGCCCAGAGTGCCCCATGTGCCCAGGGCTCCGAGGGTGCCCAGGGTGCCCAGGGCTCCAAGGGTGCCCAGGGTTCCAAGGGTGCCCAGAGTGCCCAAGGTGCCCAGGGCTTCAAGGGTGCCCAGAGTGCCCAAGGTGCCCAGGGCTCCGAGGGTGCCCAGGGTGCCCAGGGTGCCCAGGGTGATGGAGTAAGCAGCGGCTGTTTACATAAAAAGTGACTCGTTATTCCTGGTCTTTCCGCTCGTCCTTATCACCTGGGCGTCAACCTGTTTTTGTCCCAACATGATAAATGATGCGCGACGTCTCTCTTATATCTCCTCTCCATCTATGTCTCTCCTTCTCTCTCTCTCTCTCTCTCTCTCTCTCTCTCTCTCTCTCTCTCTCTCTCTCTCTCTCTCTCTCTCTCTCTCTCTCTCTCTCTCTCTCTCTCTTCTCTCTCTCCCCCTCCCTTTCTCTCTCTCCCCCTCCCTTTCTCTCTCTCTCTCTCTCTCTCTCTCTCTCTCTCTCTCTCTCTCTCTCTCTCTCTCTCTCTTCCTCCCATTCACGCTCTTTTACTTTTCCTTACTCTTCTTTACACTCTTATACCACAATGAACATTTATCTCGCCGCTGAACACACTCGGGGCATCAGAGTGCCAATGCCCACACCTCAGGGGCACAAGCATCAGTCGCCCTCTACACTCTCTGGCTCGAAAATGTCAAACTTTCCTTACATTCTTAAGTCTGTGTGTGCCCAGCCACCAGTAGCCTCACGCCCGGGCACTGGGTATTAAGAGTGCCAACTTCCCACCACACTGCCGGGGCATCAAAGGACCAGCCCACCATCAGGCAGCCGCCGCGTCTTCCCCATAGTGCGGCCAAGCTCGCAAAGACATTTATTTTTCCTTGAAGACGAATGCTCAAGAACTATGCCAGATTAGATAGATAACATTTCCCGTACGCAAACCAATCATCTGTTAACGGCAGTGTATATTTTTGCCATAAAGTATTTTCCTAACTCAAAGAATGTGGGGTTTATTATTCTGCATATATTCCAAATGACTCTTAGATGTTCACATTCTCTCAGGTAGTGGTCAAGGCGGTGTCCGTCTCTCTCGTCACAGGTTCTGCAACTCCGCTGCTCAGCTGTTGTTTCCATCCCGAATCTCCATGGATATTTGTATCCATGACGGATTCTTGCTGTTACTGATTCGCGGCCACCGCCTCCTCTTCGTCCATAACGATTGGGATTGCCAGCTGCTGGTACAACGTGGTTGCTGTTGGCAATCCCAATCATTATGGACGAAGAAGAGGTGGCCGAGTGAGGGAATCAACAATAGCAAGAATTCGTTATTAAAGCATAACCTCTGGGGGATTATTAACGCCTAACAACCTCTGGAAGGTTGGTTATTCAGGCCAAACAACCTCTAGAAAGTTGGTTATTAAGGCTTAACAACCTCTGGAAGGTTGGTTATTAAGGCCTAACAACCTCCGGAGGATTATAACGCCACCGCAATAGTTCACTGACCACTCATGAACAACACCGTGTGCAGATAACTTAACATTCTAAGATATATTAAATAACTTCATTGCTTGTATCACTGGCTTTCAAACCCTTAAACATATAATTACATACCAATTCTGACACAAGTATTAAACCGTTACTTTGACTATGTCACGTAAAATATAACTTTGGAAAACAATTCACACATCATATTTACAAATTTGTAAAAATATTTATTTGAACAGAAAAAAGTCATCTTAAGCAGAGAGCAAGTCACTATAACCTGACAGCTCTGTGTCACCATGGTCCGTCCTGGACCCTTAGGACCATGGTCCGTCCTGCACCCTTAGGACCATGGTCCGTCCTGCACCCTTAGGACCATGGTCCGTCCTGGACCCTTAGGACCATGGTGCGTCCTGGACCCTTAGGACCATAGTCCGTCCTGGACCCTTAGGACCATGGTTCGTCCTGGACCCTTAGGACCATGGTCCGTCCTGGACCCTTAGGACCATGGTGCGTCCTGGACCCTTAGGACCATAGTCCGTCCTGGACCCTTAGGACCATGGTGCGTCCTGGACCCTTAGGACCATGGTCCGTCCTGGACCCTTAGGACCATGGTCCGTCCTGGACCCTTAGGACCATGGTCCGTCCTGGACCCTTAGGACCATGGTCCGTCCTGGACCCTTAGGACCATGGTCCGTCTTGGACCCTTAGGACCATGGTCCGTCCTAGACCCTTAGGACCATGGTCCGTCCTGGACCCTTAGGACCATGGTCCGTCCTGGACCCGTAGGACCATGGTCCGTCCTGGACCCTTAGGACCATGGTCCGTCCTGGACCCTTGGGACCATGGTCCGTCCTAGACCCTTAGGACCATGGTCCGTCCTGGACCCTTAGAACCATGGTCCGTCCTAGACCCTTAGGACCATGGTCCGTCCTGGACCCTTGGGACCATGGTCCGTCCTAGACCCTTATGACCATGATCCGTCCTGGACCCTTAGCACCATGGTCCGTCCTGGACCCTTAGGACCATGGTCTGTCCTGGACCCTTCGGACCATGGTCTGTCCTGGACCCTTGGAACCATGGTCCGTCCTGGACCCTTAGGACCATGGTCCGTCCTGGACCCTTAGGACCATGGTCCGTCCTGGACCCTTAGGACCATGGTCCGTCCTGGACCCTTAGGACCATGGTCCGTCCTGGACCCTTAGGACCATGGTCCGTCCTGGACCCTTAGGACCATGGTCCGTCCTGGACCCTTAGGACCATGGTCCGTCCTGGACCCTTAGGACCATGGTCCGTCCTGGACCCTTAGGACCATGGTCTGTCCTGGACCCTTCGGACCATGGTCTGTCCTGGACCCTTGGAACCATGGTCCGTCCTGGACCCTTAGGACCATGGTCCGTCCTGGACCCTTAGGACCATGGTCCGTCCTGGACCCTTAGGACCATGGTCCGTCCTGGACCCTTAGGACCATGGTCCGTCCTGGACCCTTAGGGACCATGGTCTGTCCTGGACCCTTAGGACCATGATCCGTCCTGGACCCTTAGGACCGTGGTCCGTCCTGGACCCTTAGGACCATGGTCTGTCCTGGACCCTTAGGACCATGGTCCGTCCTGGACCCTTAGGACCATGGTCCGTCCTGGACCCTTAGGACCGTGGTCCGTCCTGGAGTCTTATCACCATGGTCCGTCATAGTCTTATCACCATGGTCCGTCATAGAGTCTTATCACCATGGTCAGTCATAGAGTCTTATCACCATGGTCCGTCCTAGACCCTTAGCAAGTAATAGGAAAATCTGAATAAAAGAAACAGCAGAAGGCCTATTGGTCCATACAAGGCCCTGCTTACAACCACCCACACTCGTACTTGTGCCTAACCTACGCTTGAAACAATTGAGCGATCCCCCCCCCCCACTCTCCCCCCCCTTCCCCCTTCAATTCTATTATGCTACCAGAGAAGTTGTTCCATAAATCTAAAACTTGTTTCCAAACCCGTATTTACCCAGGTCTTTCGTGAATCAGAACTTGTTCAATTCATGGCGCAACGGTTGCGACTTACTCTGAGGTTCGAACGAACTGAAACGTCGTCGCTATCTTTGGGGGTTATTAAAGTCGTCTTTATTTGCTTCTAAAACTCAGAATTCATTGAGGTTGCCTTGGCTTACAGAGACACAAACTGCCTCTCACTGCACACACGCCTCCGCCTCCATTCACAGTCAAGGAGATAATAGATTACTGCCCCTCTGCCACCGGTCAATAGATACTCAGAAAGTCCATTATCCCACTCATTACCATTGTTCACAGCGCCCTATTGTCTGCCTCAAGGGGAGGGTGGGTGGTGGGGGAAAAGGGGGGACCACCCCGACCCTCTTTGCTGTTATTGGCTTCAATGAGGACTGAGAGACGAGACAGGCCTCACTTGAGGGTATTTGCTGTAAATGAGTTTTGGAATATTGATGTATCGTGTGTTATATTTGTGTGTGTGTATATGTTGTACCTAGTAGCCAGAACGTCATACTCGGCCTACTATGCAAGGCCCGATTTGCCTAATAAGCCAAGTTTTCTTGAATTTATATATTTTTCTATTTTTTTCTTATGAAATGATAAATCTGGCTATTTCATTATGTATAAGTTAATTTGTTTAAATTTGAGTTAAAACTAACGTAGATATATGACCGAACCTAACCAACCTTACCTAACCTAACCTAACCTATCTTAACCTAACCTAAACTAACACAACTAAGTCAATGATTTATGTTCTTATTATAATATAATATTAATATTTCAAATAAACTAATTGGAAACAATTTATTGAATATATAGAATATCACTCGGCTTATTAGGCTAATCGAGCCTTGCATAGCAGGCCGAGAAGTGCATTCTGGCTTCTAGGTATATTATATATATATATATATATATATATATATATATATATATATATATATATATATATATATATATATATATATATATATATATAGTCTCTCTTTGGTCTAAACGGAGCAACAATTAACGTTGGTTAATTGTTGCAAGAAAAATCTATATTTTGCAGGAAAACTGGAAATGTTTCTGTGCATGACAAGCATGATTGATGGCTTCTGTGAACACGAGCATGATTGATGGCTTCTGTGAACACAAGCATGATTGATGACTTCTGTGAACACAAGCACGATTGATGGCTTCTGTGAACACAAGCATGATTGATGGCTTCTGTGAACACAAGCATGATTGATGGCTTCTGTGAACACAAGCATGATTGATGACTTCTGTGAACACAAGCACGATTGATGGCTTCTGTGAACACAAGCATGATTGATGGCTTCTGTGAACACAAGCATGATTGATGGCTTCTGTGAACACAAGCATGATTGATGACTTCTGTGAACACAGGCATGATTGATGGCTTCTGTGAACACAAGCATGATTGATGACTTCTGTGAACACAGGCATGATTGATGGCTACTGTGAACACAAGCATGATTGATGACTTCTGTGAACACAAGCACGATTGATGGCTTCTGTGAACACAAGCATGATTGATGACTTCTGTGAACACAAGCACGATTGATGGCTTCTGTGAACACAAGCATGATTGATGACTTCTGTGAACACAAGCACGATTGATGGCTTCTGTGAACACAAGCATGATTGATGGCTTCTGTGAACACAAGCATGATTGATGGCTTCTGTGAACACAAGCATGATTGATGACTTCTGTGAACACAAGCATGATTGATGGCTTCTGTGAACACAAGCATGATTGATGACTTCTGTGAACACAAGCACGATTGATGACTTCTGTGAACACAAGCATGATTGATGACTTCTGTGAACACAAGCATGATTGATGGCTTCTATGAACACAAGCATGATTGATGACTTCTGTGAACACAGGCATGATTGATGACTTCTGTGAACACAAGCATGATTGATGACTTCTGTGAACACAAGCATGATTGATGGCTTCTATGAACACAGGCATGATTGATGACTTCTGTGAACACAGGCATGATTGATGACTTCTGTGAACACAAGCATGATTGATGACTTCTGTGAACACAGGCATGATTGATGACTTCGGTTACTCAACCTGTTCTCTCCATCTGCCACTCCTTAATAAATACAAAGTGTTATGCCTAACCAGAAACGTAAAAAATACAACTGTTCTGCCTATTCAGACACGCAGTAACCCAAGCAACCCACCTAACCTGTCGAGGCCGATGCACGTAGAACGTCAATATCTCGGTGCTTTAATTTATTTTTCTATTATATATCATTTTTAACCGATTGGTTATACCGTTAAAAAAAAATGCGATGCGTCTCGTACTGGGAATATCAGCTGAGCCGAGGAAGTCGTCCCTACTGGACTTGACCTAACTTCAAGTCCAGGCGAGAAGGCCTACCTTAACCATCCCAAGTCCAGGCAAGGAGACCTAACTGAAGTGTCCCAAGTCCCCCCCCCCCTCCCAAAAAAAAAATAATAATTAATTACTGAATTAATAAACTAATAATTGATTACTGAAAGCAGGCAGCTCTTAGCATAGAGCGGCATCACCAAAATATAATTAATTTTCTTTTAATTCCATTAAGATACATCCTAAAATATCGGCATTTTAATTAGTAACAACAATTCAAAGACAATTGTTTAAAATAATAATAACGCGACTCGTTTGCAATGATGTAACACGCAGTGAAACGAGAGAGAGAGAGAGAGACGGGGGCGGAAGAACAGACGCAAAGACAGAGACGGAGACGAACGAAGACAGGGACGAAGACAGGGACGGAGACAGAGCAAGAGAGAGACAGACAGACAGCTATACACCCACATCAAAAGACTAGACCGAAAGACGGATAAATAATAGGTAGAAAATCTAAACAAGGAGACAGAAAAAGACAGCGAGAAAAGACAGAGAGAGAACTTAAACCCAATGAATCTGACGGTCCTATTCACATGAAAAATTAAAAAAAAAATATTACGGCATCCGAGTGAAGTTGTGCATTGTTTGGACGGGAACAAGACAGGGCTATAAGCTTTCCGGTCACAAAGTTCATTCTTCCCAGTCTTAACGTTCATTCTTCGCCCGTAGAGACACAATAATAGTGGCGGCACTCCTGTCATATTGAGTTACCGACAGAAACCTGGAATGTGTTTTGGACTGAGGACCTGGACGGGGCCGGGCTGTGAGGGGCAAGAGGTAAAGGGAAAACAAGAATTAGGTCGAATCTTCGCCCCCACATTGTTCTCGCCCAAGAGGCTCCATCGTGCTCATGTTCCTGTGGTTCGAGTCCAGCAGCGGGTCGTCCAGGGGCGAGGAAGTTAACTCTTTTAAACAACGTTGTTCTGCTGCACCTTTGTGCCCTTAGCCCAACTACTGACCTTCCCCTCCTCCCCCCCCTGACCTTTCGGGTGTCAACCAACTACGCAGACCACTCCACTACAGGACCCCAGCGAAACGATAATGTTTAATAACTCTAATACACAGAAGACCTACGATAACAAGAACAGGTGATCTTGGCTATATGGAAGGGCTACGAGAACGGGATGTAGGAACGGTGCCCAACCACAGTAACCATCGGGGATTGAGCGCCGACCTTGCAAGAATCGCTAGGGAAGGGTACCCAACTACTAGGACACTGGGGGATCGAACGCCAGCCAGCAAGAAGTCGCCATATTGACCACTCCAAGTGGAATAGACAGGAATGAGGTAATTATCTATACCACTGATATTAAGTAAAAATAATTTACATGGGGACGAAAACAAGATACTAATTTAAACATAATAATTTAAATTATTATCCAATTAAGATCAAGTTCTCACATGCTGCGAGACCACTGCAAAAAATTCTGAACCAGTTCATGTTCTCAATACTTTATGTATATCTTTTTGTATTAAATAGCGTGTAATTACGTATTTTTTCTGATATTAATGGAGGTATTGGCGAATTTCTTGAGCATGGGTGTGTGTCAAGGTATTTATAGCGGAAAAAGCGACTGACTCAGACCTGGAGTAGGGTGCGAAGTATAAGGTTGGCTTAAGCAAGGCATGAAGGGTAGGGTGAGTGAGGTGTGAGGAATAGGGTGAGTGAGGCGTGAGGGGTAGGGTGAGAGGTGTGTGAAGTGTAGGGTGAGCGAGGCGTGAGGGTAGGGTGAGCGAGGCGTGAGGGGGTAGGGTGAGCGAGGCATGAAAGGTAGGGTGAGAGAGGCGTGAGGGGTAGGGTGAGCGAGGCGTGAGTGGGTAGGGTGAGAGAGGCGTGAGGGGGTAGGGTGAGAGAGGAGTGAGGGGTAGGGTGAACGAGGTGTGTGTGTGTTCAGGTGACTAACCATATGATCTTTATAAAATTTAAATTGTCCCAATCCCCCAGGGTGACCACCGTGGGAGCCACCCCCACAGTACCTGAACATATCTGTGGGCCCAGCCGGGTAACGAGCTTGTCTCTAGTCGTTACGGTAATCCTCCCACGCTTCGCTAATTAGCAAAGGGGAGGAGCTGGAGGTCAAGCTAATTACCTCAGAGGTGTGGTGCTTTATTGATGGCGAATTAGGCTCGGTAACTCACCTTATTTTCGCATTATGTGAACCGGACAAAACACGTGACCACCTAAATAATAATTAACTCAGAGAGCAACACGCTAATTAGCTGCACTAATTGCTTGTTTGCTCTCCTTAATTTAGCCCTATAAGCTTTATTTTGAATTATCTTGCACTCTAATAAAAAAAAGTAAATTGATTTAAGGGTAAGGTTTTTTATCCACATTGTTTGTTTAGTTAATGTTTAAGGCAGAAGGGTTCCTTACCTGGGGATATCCCTTACCCCTTTGTGGGCATGGAATACCCCCCGGCAGTAATGGGGGGCATGGGATACCCCCCGGCAGTAATGGGGGGCATGGGATACCCCCCGGCAGTAATGGGGGGCATGGGATACCCCCCGGCAGTAATGGGGGGCATGGGATACCCCCCGGCAGTAATGGGGGGCATGGGACGCTCTCTGAACAACTTAAGAATGAAATCACCGTCAGTGATTTCAGTCAATCACCGCCAACTGTGCCTCGATTCACTGTCTTGATGGTACAAAGACAACAGCAAAACCCCACAAGTTGTGGCCGGCTTTTGGATGGGTGATCTGACCTTTGAATATAATTATAAAACCATTATGGGTTTTCTTCCAGGTGCTGTGGGAACTATGTAAGCTAAAAGCAAGTTATTGACCTCTTTTTGAACCTGTTATCGTACCTAATTGGACCGGTGGTGGTGACTACTTAGACAGGGTGGTGAAGGGGGTAAAAAGGGCCCCCATCCCCTGCACGTACATGTAAGTGGTCCGTGTCTTGCACGTAAATGGCACGTGTGTGGGCCCCCCATCCCCTGCACGTACGAGACATCAACACCAACAGGAACGGAAGAGACATAAGTCAACATTACACAGACAACTATTGATTATGTTAATCTGAAATATATCAAGATTTTCCTTCTCAGTGGCCCGCACCGATGGGGGCCAGGAGTGGCGTCCAGGATTTATACACAACCAGTTACGAAACCTGTACATCTTTCCTTAATCACGGCGGCTTCGTTTACACTTACTAAGCAGTTTATGAGCTTGGAAACTTCACAACCCAAGGTTATAATTGTTATATAAAAAAAAACTCCTAATACTTCGGAGTTCATAAACTGTTTAATAAATGGGGAACAAAGCCGCCATGAATATCGAAAAGATGTATAGGCTTCGTAAGTGGTTGCGTAAATGCTTAACGAGTCCTTGCCAGGATTATCACTGGTTATGGTCATAAATTTGACCGTTAAAGGTCCGATTTTTTTTTTGTGTGTGTGGGGTGGGGGAGGGGGGGGGGAAGGGGGAGAGGGGGAGGGGGGGGGGACTGACCTATACACACAAGCTGTGGTCGCCAGTGGACTTGTTCTGCTCGCTGTCTGTGTATAAGAGATTGGTGTACAGTGTATGTATGAAGCTTTCAGTAATCACTAATCCTGAAGATTTATCTTGCCCATTGATCATAAGCCTCTGTCTCGCTCACTAATCGTACGACTTAGCACACTGACTAACTACTAAGGATTAGCATATTCACTAATCACCATGACTGGAGGTTGTGTATTGGGGAATATTTATGGAGGCCTTTTATCCTGACTTACGACACCTCGTGGTTACGACCTCGTAACCGTATTCGGGGATGGTGAATACAATATTGCTCTGGGTGATGCGAGACAGGATGCTCCAGCTAAGATCGCTCCACTTGCTATAACGACCGTCCAGCTATCCGCGATATGATGTAAGACGTTCTAGCTTAGATCTGCGGACTAGCCATGAGGACTATCCAGCTGTCAGAGAGGACGGACAAGAGGCTCTAGCTCCTGGCCTAATTCTCTTTACCTTATACGTTCGGCTTTGTATATATACTTATCTACACATAGTGACTTGTATGTACTTTCAAAAGGAGTATCAAGCGAGCATTGTCTTGTTGCAGATGGATACGAATTGCAATGATTTGCGACTCTCTTGATTCTTATCCACTTGGAGTGGTGTGTAGAACGACGGCCTCGCTTCTTACAGGTCGTCGTTCGATCCCCGACTGTCAAAGTGGTTAGGCACAGTTCATCCTAGTTCCTTGCCATTACAGTCCTATTCCAGCCCCCCTTGTCCTCATACCCCAGCACCTCTCTTGTCCTCGCATCCCTCCCAAGTGATATATATTGAGATTAGCTTGGGGCTTTATTACGGGCTCACCATAGCCCGTGCTACATGGACACTTCGTTCTGAGTAGCTAAATCTAAAACAACAATAACTTGGGGCTTTGTCTTTACGAGCTATTCATGCCCGTGTCATCTCTTGGGTGGCTTAATCTTCATCTATCAATCGGGATTTCAGCTCAGTCGATTAAGGCAGTGTCTGGGATGCTCCCGGACGCAGGTTCGAATCCTCGTCACGGCCCTTGTGGATTTGTTCATTTAATCGGGCTTTGTCTTCACAGTCACCTTACCTCGACTCGTATCCAACTTACACTTGAGGTCGTGAAAGGAAGTACCTTCAACATTCCGGTTTATATTGAATTTTATAA